TGTTCCAACCTCATATTTCACTGCCCTCATCTTTATGCACCCAGGGTGGATTTAAATGGCACTGTCCAGCTGACCGTTGTTGTTTAGCCACCAAATCTATTAACCATCCTTGCTTTTTATCTTTTCTCTATGCCTCACACAATATGCAAAGTAATATACAACTCTGACCTTGTAAATGGCGTGATTCCAAGAGTTCTACACATATTTAATTACTCGGTCCTCATAACAAACTTAGAAAATAGTTGTCAATCCCACTTTGCAAGTGAGGAAACTGAGGCATAGAGAGGTTAGCATCACACAATCAGTGAATCTGTGTATCATTTGAAATTGTCAAAACTTCAATTTTAAGAACTGCTTTTCTCTATTTTAATACTGTTGGAGTTGAGAGTTGATATACATGTGCTGAGTTATAATCTTGAACAGGATGCGCATCATTTGGAAGTTGACCCTGTGGTGTGTGCCTGAAGCGACAGCTGTAGATCCAGTTGATGTTTCCTGGGGCCAGGGCAGCCTGGGTCTCCTCTGCTGTCAAAGTGCAGTCAGTGCCATTTGCAGTGCTTGTGTGTACTATGTGAGGTGTTTCAGAACAACCTGAACAACCTTTCGAAATTCCTCTCCTAATCCAGGGCTAGATTGCATGGACCATGGATATTTACTTCAGTTGGAGACATCCGTCCCAGGTGGTGGACAACAGAAGAATGAGGATGACTTCAAGTCTCCAATGGCTCTTATCCACATTTATTCTTTTATATCTAATGAATGAAGTAAATAGCCAGAAAAAGGGTAAGTAAACTAGACTTTTAGAGAATGAACAAACTGCATTTTTATTTAAATTTTGGCCATGAAACAGTCTTGTTTCTTTGTTGATCCCTTAGGTTTTTAGTGGCTAAAATCCATTTTTTTTTTTTGGTAATTTTTTCGATGTACTTTTAGTTTATTTTTTAAAAAGCCCTGAAAGATAAATCAAAATATTCTTTTTTCATTTAAAAAATGACAATATAATTTAGATGCAATAATATTAATTCTTTTAGGACACAATTCTTTGAGTTTTGCCAGTGTGTGCAGTGATTACCTACTGGCTCCATCAAGACAGGCACAGGCCCAGCACCCAGGAACATCCCTGGATGCCTCTGCTGTCAGCCCCTCCTGGTCCCACCAGCTCTGCTCTGTCTTCTCTCCCTAATTTTACTTTTTAAAGAATGTTATAAAATGAAATCTAAGTACATTTAATATGTTATTGGTATCCTATTGAAGTATATTAAAAGTGTTGATGTAGCTGGGCCTGGTGGCACATGCTTATAATCCCAGTAACTTAAGGGGTGGAGGCAGGAGGATCACATGTTCAAGTCCAGCCTCAGAACCTTGGGCCTAAGCAACTTAGTGAGACCCTTCTCAAAAAAAATAAAAATAAAAAAATAAAAAAGAAGGAGAAGAAGAAGAAGAATGTTTATATAGGTATTACCCAGCATGTTTGTATGAAGAACATTATTATCCTGCTGCCTCATAGCTTCATTTTTATATTATTCCCATAATTAAACAGAGTCTTTTCCCTAAGGTCATTGATAAAATAACTGTATTATGATGACTACTGTTTATTTCTAAAGTGAGCACTTCTGGTATGTTTTTTGTTTTATATAGCTTTATGATTTATTTTATAGTGACTGTCATGCCAAGTACATATAAAAACAAGAAAAAAATTTATGAGAGAACTCTGTAGTCAGGGGAGGAATACCATTTTTTACTATATAGTCCTCCCACACACACCCTTCCCTCTTCTTCCCTTTTCCTCTCTCTCTCTCTCATACCTTCTTCCTTCCTTTTCATTTTTCTATGGGGTGACCTTTCGTCATTTAATGTTCGCATATTCCATGATGTAATGTTATTGTATAGATGTGAGTAGGTGCTATTAGGATTGTAATCTTCTGAGTTGTTATTTTTCAGTTGTTTAATTAAACCTGTACATAAAAGGATTTTTCAGAGGCTCATATGAGTTCATTACTGTTTAAAATTAACATTCTTTGCCACCATCTGAAGATTGGTTATGGGGTTCCTGGAGAGGATGGCCATTTGGTAGCAGTGAAGTAGCCAGGTGTTTAGGTGCTGCATCTGTGGACTTGGGAGCCACGTCATTTTTACCAAGATTTTATTCTATTTTTTACAGTGTGGGTTTTGGACATTCAAGGAGGACTAGAATGCCCCCAGTCCACCTCTTGGTCCTAGCATCAAATCTACACTGTATTCAGTTGCTTCCTCAATTTCTCAGAGTTTCCTGGAAGTAGAATTTTTGATATTGATCTAACCCCCAAATTGTCTAGAAGTTGGTCCACTTGTATTACCTTTTAGCATTCCCATTTTTTTTTTTTTTACACCAAAGCTTCAAAAGAAACCTGAAACCTGTGCCCACCCACGTCTGCAGGGTTGTCCCTTACAGAGAACATGTGCCTTCTGCAAACCCATTTGCTTGAGTTTAAAATTGACAGTAACACAGTGTAGCTGAGTTACTAAGCATTGTTCTGTGTTGTGTGTGCCCATGTGCATGTGTCGTTTTCCTCCTTCTCCAGGGGCACTTCGTGATTTCAAGTGTGTAACTAACAATTTGCAAGAGTGGGACTGTTCTTGGAAAGCACCGCTTGGAGCCGGCCATGGTACTGTTTATGAAGTTTGCATTGAAGACAGGTAATGGAAATACTTAGATTGATTTATAAGTACAACTTACTGGTTCTTCATCTTTCATTTTAGAACATACGAGTTTCAATCTGGGTATTTTAAAATGATATTTAAATGAAGTTTCTTAAAAATTTTGAATCTGATGTTGATAAAGATAGAAACAAACCCTTCTAGCCAAAAGTTGGATTCTTTTCTTAAATCAATAGCAATTATGGAGCATATCTGCCGTGTGATGATCTGCTATGGGAAGTCTTACTAGTCTACCCCAAACCAGTGTCTAGCTATACAAGTTTAAGTTTGTGCCTAATAGAAAATGTCAGTCATAGTGCCTCAATACACTAGCAGTTACTCTTGTGAAAAATGCATACAGTGTAGAACTGGCATGGTTGTTTGTGGCCATTGAAACTCAGTCCCTCTTTGCTGTGCCACTTTGCTGCCTGGTTTATGGAACTCACGGTTCAAGGTGATGCTTTAGGAGCAACCTGTGTCTTATTCCAAGAAGCATGCAAGAATAAGGAGCACATGTTCCTTGAAGAGACTTACAACAAGTCCCACAGAGTACCTATGCCTACATCTCATTGGCCAGAACCCAGTCAGATGGCTGAGTTCTCCAGGAGGCTAGGAGATAGCTCTCCTAGCTGAATGGCAGCATCCCGGTAAACACTGGGTATGGGTTACTAAGGAAAAGGGAGAGGTGAACCATGGGAAGTGGAGAGGCAGGCTCTGTCATACCATATTACTCTCTTAAGTAGTGTTAGAGTGGATGAGCTCTTGTGCTTGGAATGAGGCCCGTGGGGTACCCACACAATCCCAGCAGGATTCTGAGTTGTTAACAGTGCCAAAGGAGTTCCAATAAGCCTTCTCTAGTCTCACTTTGCTAATGAGTGGTTCTCCTATAAATGGATGTAAATGTGTATTTAATTACAATCAAGGTTTTCTCCATTTTGTGTATATTTGTTGAGCATTATGCTAAGCTTTGGAGTAATTCACCAATCAAAATGAGCTAAATTATGTTGCAGATACAACTTGCAATTCTTAATTCCTCAAGAAAATACAGAGTTATTATTTTCTGCTGTATTTTATTTCTACTGGGTATGGGCTGGGATATCTACCCTGAGATTCTTTCTAAGGACCCCAGATTAGTGATGGGGGAGCAGAGGGGACAAGGCCTGACTTTTAAAGCTTTCTTCTAGAAATGACAGATATGAATTTCACCAGGCTTCTCTGGCCAAATAAAACCACATGGCCAAGCCTTACTGCAGAGAGTCAGAGATGACAGTCCTGTGAGTCCAGGAAAGGGAAATCCTGAATAGTTCAGTAAATAGCATGCTGAGAGGTTCAGTTCTGGCTCCCTGTGAGCTCACAGTAAACAGATAGTGACTGCTATATGGGTTCTGTGCCAACGGAAGTTACCTGAGGATGTGAAGGTCATGGAAGGGGGGACCAAGGAATATCGGGGGCACTGAAAGCATTTTGAAGGCAGCACTGATGAGGAAGTCTTGTTCAAAGCCACCCAGAAGCCAGGCCTGAGGAGTGGGCAGTTTTACTTCATTCGTTGACCTTGAATGGTGGTGCTCAGTGGTGCTCAGTCTTCGAAGGTGGTACTGGCTGGTCTGGTCTCAAGGGCTGGGTGCTTAAGAGGGTAGAGCATGCAGTAGGTGAGGCCGCAGAGGGTGGGTCAGGGTGAGATTTGAAGAAGTCATCTGTGCTTATTCACTGCACTTTCTGGTGCAGCCTGGTTATTTTTCCTGATAAAATTGCTATTAATCCCTCATTTTTCAGTATTAAAATGTGGCACAATCAAGTATATTTGAACACCAAAGAACATAAGGTATTTTTCACTGTTTTTTTTTTTTGAAAATGGAACTACTAATTAAATCTAATTAAAAATGTTTCTTTTATTGCAGGCCCCGTTCTTGTTATCGATTAGAGAAAACAAACATTAGACTCTCAGCTCTTTCACCTGGTGATCATGAAATAAAAATAAATTCTCTACATGATCTGCAGAGTTCTATGAGCAAATTCATATTAAATGAAAAAAATGTTTGTAAGTATTTGAAAAGAAGATTGATTTTAAAGTAGAATGGGACCCTTGTTGGTACTGTGGTGCTTTGTCATTGACAGACACTTTTTGGTTCTGCGAATTTCGTTTTCTTAGGCTAATACTTTGACTTGTGCAGCAACCTTGCTGTGAATTATAGAGCACAGCTAGGGTCAGGAAGGAAGCATACTTACCTTCTAGTCCAGCAGAGTAGACCCCAGAACTGAAGGTCCTTCCCTCAGTGCAGTACCTTTTCCTTGGCTTCCTTTGCTCTTGATTTCTATACATCCCCTGGCATGTCTCAAACGCCCCTTGCTCTAGACTCATCTTAGACCATCCCACTCGAGACTCTATTCCTTTCTTCGCATATCCTTGGGCAGGCTGTGCTTCTTTGTGGTGTTTTTTTCAGTTCAGTTAATATTCCATTGTGTAATTAGGTATTTACCATGTGTCTCCTCTACAAGGAAATAGGGTCCATGAGGATAGGGACTTTGTCTTCTATACCAAGACTGCTGTCTGGAAGCAGGCATTTGTTACAAGCTTATTGATTCAGTGTCTCAGACGTATGCTACCAGCAGATTGGTACTAGGATCAGGAATGCTGGATTAAAGACATCCCCGTTTGCAAAATAAATTCAGGCTGAGAGAGATGGACAGTTTGCTGTGCAACAAACTTTAAAATCCTGAGTATTCCTGTCACTTAATGGGGGCAAGTGGGTTTGGCAGGTCCTGACCGCTGTGGTGGAATAACAGCATTATGAGCAGCAGCATGATATTCCAAGGAGTCTTTTAATGGTACTGTGATGAGTCTTGTAAGGTTGACTGATGTTGAAGTGAGAAAGAAAACAGTTTGGTGATTCGTCTAGTATTGTGGAATGGATGTATGTATGGAATGATCTATGTCAGAGCATAGGTTTTGAAAGAATAAGGACAAATATGCTGTCCAAGTACTTAGAGTCTTTCCTGTTTCTGGTTGAAGTGTTGTCCATGTAAAGTGCCTCTTAAGCTATCCCTTAAGGTAAGAGAGATGAATCATGTATTATTTTCTTTGAACAGTTGGGAATATTTTCGGTAGGTTAGCCATGACCCCAATACCCAGAGAAACACTCTTAACACTTCAATACATTTTCTGTGCGTGTACACATAACAGGTTTGTATTGATTTATAGTCTGCTTAACATAGACACGTAATAGAGTTCTAAGTTATTTCTGTAAACCCATGTTGTTAATGCCTGCATAGTGTTCCGTCAGATGGACGTGCCATAATTACTTAAAGAGCTCTGTTATCAACATTGATTTTTGTTTCCGGTTTATTAGTGTTATTACTAATGTTTTTTTTAAATATTATTTTTAGTGATGAACACAACATCTTTGTTTATTTTTATGTGGTGCTGAGGATTGAACCCAGTGCCTCACGCATACTAGGCGAGTGCTCTACCATGAGTTTCAGTGAACATCTCTTGTGTGTGAATGTTTGTGAATTTGTCTGATTTACTAGGATCAGGAATGCTGGATTAAAGATATCCCCTTTTGTAAGACTCTTGATAGTCTTTGTCAGGTTGTTCCAAAAACATTATACCTCTTTGCATTTCCACAAACTTAGAAGTATGCCTGTTTCCCCACATCTTTAGCAGGGCTGGGTAGTATTCATCTCATTTATTTTTGCCAATCTAATCTAATGACCCCAAGTTATATCACTGTTGTTTCTTCGATTCTGTGATTAATTAAAAAAGAATTTGTCAATTGTATTATTTTCTGAACTGTCAGTTACAACTTTTCCATAGCATTTGTCACCATTTTCCTCACTAGTTCACAGAGCTCTCCCTGTATTACTTGTTAATTGCCATATTTGCTGCAGATTTTTTTCTGATTTAAAAAATTTTAAAAATATGATGTTTTTCATACCACAAGTTTTCCTTTTTAATATGGTAGGATTGTTTGCTATTTGGGGGTTTGGGGTTTTGCTGACATGTTTGATTTAAATCTTTCATCCACCTGAAATTATTTTGTAGTCAAGTATGAGGAACCTGTCTACTCTAGAGTTTTTAAAAATCCCTAGGGTTTTAAACATTTAAATAATCCAGATTGTGGTTATTTTAGAAGTAACCAAAGTCCTCATCTTGGAAGCCTCTTGATGGTGGTAGTGGTAATTAGAAAAGGTTAAAAAAGTAAATCAAGACAGATTATAGGTGACACAGTCGATCGGTAGTTCATTGTTTCTTACATATCATGTAATTTTTTAGTGGCATTTTAATAAATAATAATAATTTAATAAATAATGATAATAATGGGCCCAAAGGATAGTTAGAATAATGGTATTGGGATAAGAAAATTTAAAAGCAAATTAGACAAACATAAGCTGGAGAAGTAGAGGCGTGTCTTGGTCTGTTTGGCCTGATGTAACAAAATACCTTAGAACAGATAATGTGTGAACGTCAGAAATTTCTTTATAGATCCGGCTTCTGGGATGTTCAAGATCAAGGTATTTGCAGATTTGGTGTCTGGTGAGGACATGTTCCTCATAGATGGCGAGGGAAGGGGTGAACAAGCTCCCTAGGGCCTTTCTTATAAAGGTAGAGATCCTCTTTGCAAAGGCAGAGCCCTTGTGACTTTTCACTTCCCAGAGGCCCCTCCTCGTAGCACCTTTCCCCTTGGGGGTTAAGTTTCAAGAGTTTGGAGGGGAGTTCAGACCACAGCCGTGCATCAGCAAAGCTTTGAGCACCTGTTGAATGTGAGACAAACTCTGAAATGGTCATGTCGCTGGTCATTAGAGGATCTAGATTATTTGCTGCTAAATGAAAGCACGACAAATTAAGTTTTCTCCAGGTGTGAAGATGGTTTCAAAAGTTAGCTTACTAAGCAAGCAAGGTTTTATGCACGCTCGTATACATAGAATAAATTTTGTATTTCCCAAGGGAAAGGATAAAAAAGACTTTGTAAGACTTCTGGTGTCTGTTTTCTTAAAATAATCTGAAAATTTGGGTCACTCTGAGCAGGATAAATGTGGATCCTAAAAAAAAAAAAAAATCCAGGAAGACTCTTGTCTCCTGATGTTCTAAGGCAGACAGACCATGTAGGTTGTAAGTAAGCTGTTCTAGCTTTTAACAATAAATAAGACTTTCATTAAATTTCTTTCTATATAAAAGTTCTGAGTTTCTAGAAAACAAGTTAGAATTGTCATCAAATGCCTATTTTAGCTCTACAGAAATGCAGATGACAATTCATTGGGAGCTTAGGGGAAACTTCCATGTCTGCTATGAAAAAAGGAAAGGAATAGTGGGATTTTAAATTCTTCCATTTGTAATCATGGCTGTTACCGTTTTTAGCATGAAATATTGGATATGACTTGTGTTTTGAAGCCTCCCTTACTCTACTGAAGTGTAAGTTATGTGGACTTTTTAGGGAGGGGAGCATTTTTTTAAATAATTTTTTAAGCTATAGACAGACAAAATATCTTTATTTATTTATTGATTGATTTCTATGTGGTGCTGAGGATCAAACCTAGTACCTTACACGTGAGGCAAGTGCTCCTTTACCACTAAGTTACAACCCCAGCCCGGAGGGAAGCATTTTAATGGATTAGCCTTGCCTCAGCTAAATAATAATTGCATGTTTCATACTATTTAAGTCACTGCATTGTGACGTCTCTAGCCTCTAGAAGAAGAGTGCGTTCCTGCAAGCCTCTTGTTCTCTGGTCATGCTGGCACCTGAACTTTCCCTCATCTGGCACTAAGTTAAACTTCTTGCTTCTCCCTGCACACTTTTTCTTTTTCACAGACACCTTCCCACTTCAAGCTTCTCCTACAAAGCACCCCCACTGTTGACTTTGTTGTATAGTTTAGACTTTAAAGGCACATGTTGTAGGTCCTGTAGAGCCGTACACATTTAATGCAGATCCAGTGTAGAGCACCCTGTAATGCAAAATTTAGTAAACTTATTTTTAAGTTCTAGGACTGATTAATTTATAATGATTTGTATATTTGGTATTCACCACACTGAGCTACCCCAACCATGTATTCTCCTGCAGTTTGGCACTTGCAGTGACTATGTATTGGCCCTTGAACTTCACAGGGAATGACTAAAGTGAGGTAAAAAAGGACACACCTCTGGGTTTCTTCCAGTGTACCTTCATCTTACTGTCGTTTGAAGAAGAAACGTGAAAGAGAACCTAAGACTCTCTGCTGCTCACTTCTGACAGCCTGCATTTCATGGCACAGGACACACTCGTATCTTGTTTTCCACTGATCCAGAAGTTTCCATAATTACCCATTCCTTAAGGGTAGGAAAATGTGAAGATTTTCCAGATGCATTTCTCTTTCTACTATCTCTTTTCAGCACACGATGCACACCCCAGGTCTTGAGCACACTGTCTCTTTACCTTCTGCAGTTGAGCAGAGAGCTTGTGGCTCTTTGCTCTGGTCCTCCAGTGTGAACTTGTATTTGGCCTACCTGTGTCTTTTTGGCTCAGTGATCCTAGATTTTCTCTGGTTTCCTTTGCTTCTAGATCATCTCCTCTCTGTGTTCTTGTGGGTGTGTCTGGTTCCTTGAAGGTCCAATTGTCTATCGGCAGCCCCTCTGTTGAGCTCTGGTTGTTACATGTCTGTGTGTTTGTGTTTCTGAGTCTACTCTTCTCACCCCAGCGTTTGCAGAGCTCTCTGCCCATGCCTCTTCTTCCTGGACACTTTGTCAGCCACAGCTGGTCTTCTGTGTTTCTTCACAATAGTTCCTGATTCCTTTTGTCTTTCTTGGAACCTTGAGTGAAATCTTGATTATTTCTCTTTCTTATTAGAGCAAATCTTCATTTCTATGATCCAAGAATTTCTTTGAAATGCCCAACAGATTTTTTCCTTTTGTCTCCATACTTGTCACTGTAACCAATAGGTCTATTACTCTAGCCAGATTTCTCCAGTGGCCTCCTCATCGACTACCATGTCACTCTTGTCTCAAGGCCTGGCAGAATGTGGCATATCATTGCTGAAGCACCAACCTTTCTTTTATTTGGCCAACCCACGCCCTGCGCTTCTGCACTGTAACCCATTGCCTGCTTATCTCAGTGCCTTGGTCATTGTGCCAGCCTTCCTGCTATGGAGTGATATCCATGACTGGGAATGGCTCATCAGATTCTGTGAGCATCCCCTACTTGATGGACTCTGACCCTGGAAGATGAGTGAGAAGACAGCGAGAAAACATGCAGAGAGCTTTCTCAAAGTGAGCTCCCTATATTTTGTCTCTTCTTAGGCCTTATCGCCTGCCACACAAAGGAAGGACTTTTTTTAATATATACTTTTTTTTTTTAAAAAAATATATTCCTTTTAGATATACATGTTAGTAGAGTGTATGTTGACATATTATACATACACAGAGTATAACTTATTCTAATTAGGATCCCATTCTTGTGGTTGTACATGATGTGGAGTTACACTGGTCATATTTTCATATAAAAACACAGGAAAGTTACGTCTGATTCATCTACTGTCTTTCCTATTCCCATATCTTCTCCCTTCCCTTCATTTCCCTTAGTCTAATCTAATGAACTCTTCTCTCCCTCTCCACCTTACATGTGTTAGTATCCACATATCAGAGAATAGTCAGTCTTTGGTTTTGGGGGATTGGCATATTTCACTTAGCATGGTAGTCTCCAGTTCCATCCATTTACTGACAAATGCCATCATTTCATTCTTCTTTAAGGCTGAGAAATACTCCATTGTGTATATACACCACATTTCTTGATCTATTTATCTGTTTTTTTTTTTCTTAATGGTGCTGGGCGTGGAACCCAGAGTCTCCCTCATGAAAGGCAGGCACTCTACCACTGACCTCCACAAATTTTTAATTCTTGATTACTTTTTATCTAGGAGGAATATAATTAAAAATTGTTGATTAATAGAAGTATAATATTAAAAATCATTGGTTGTTTATTCAATTTTCTCTTCTGTTTCCCTTTTTTTTAAAGCCTTAGTTCCAGACACTCCCGAGATCTTGAGTTTGTCTGCTGATTTTTCAACATCTACGTTACACCTCATGTGGAATGACAAGGGCTCTGTTTTTCCACATCACTCGAATGTCATCTGGGAAATTAAAATTCTACGTAAACAGAGTATGGAGCTTGTAAAATTAGTAAGTTTAAACAAAAATAGTTCTTTTCTTATGATGTTAAAGAAACGGAATGATTTTTTAAAGCGTTTTTAAGGTGGTATCAATTCATTGGTGGTACAAATGGTTTTTTTTTTTATATTATTAAGGAGTAGAGCAGATTTATTTCAGCATTTCTTAAAAACCATATTCTATGATTCAGAAATCACTTGTATTACCAGTATAAGAAGTTCAGGAAATTAAGGGAAGAGTACTCCCTTGATCAAGTGTGATGCTTCCACTCGAACACAATAAACAGTGTCTTCATGTGCTCCTTCCTGTCTAGCTGCTTTAATATACTGTCTTTTCATAAACAAAAGGATAGTATGCTTGTAATTCAGTCTATTTTTTTATCTTTAAGGAATAAAGATGAATTTTTTGAACATATCTGGCCATAATAATTGTTGAAAAATAAATCAACCTGAATTTACCAAAACCTGAAATTATATATTTAGGACATGCTTTTTTCTATTTTTAATCCTGTTTATGAATGTTTTTTTAAAATTATCTACAATTAATTGGCTCTTAACCTAAGAGGCAATAAGAATAGTTATGAAAAGTGTGACAGGTGCTATGTGGATACTTGAATAAGAAGGATGCTCTTTGAAGTGTGAGTGAAATCAAACATAAATGAAGGAACTATTCTGTTCTAAATCGGTGTAACTCATTACCACAAGACACACAACAAGTTGACCATAATAAGGAAGCAAAATTTCCCTAATTTAGGGAGAAATGTTTGCATGAGAAAATAATAGCAAAGGCCAGAATATGAGGAAAGAACAAATTAATTTAAAATAGTGAAGTAAAAGAGGAAAAATGCCCAGGTAGGTCCATAGTAGATATGTGACATTTTTATTTATAATAATGTGTTACTGATATCATTATTTAAGTCAGAATTGCTACCACAAAAAAATAGCATCATAATGTGCTCCAAAATGAATGCTGCCATTTAAAAAATATTTTTAATTACAAATGGACACAATACCTGTATTTTATTTATTATTATTATTTATTTATGTTGTGCTGAGGATTGAACCTAGCACCTCACACATGCTAGGCAAGCGCTCTCTACCACTTAGCCACAACCACACCCCAAATGTTGTCATTTTGTAATAGTTTAAAAATCAAGAATCCTGGGCATTAGTGTTTCATTGAAGGCACTTAACTACCTGTTGCCTCTGTGCACAGCCGGGAAGCCTGCCGCAGAGGACCAGGGCAGGCTGGAGGGATGCCTGGCGGCCAGCCACCCCTCCCACACACTCCCCTTGGCTTTTCCTGGAGAGAAACTTTCTACTTTTTATTTAATTGATTTTATTTTTTTAAATACACGACAGTGTAATGTATTACAATTCTTATTATACATACAGAGCACAATTTTTCGTATCTTTGTATATAAAGTATATTCACGCCAATTCATGTCTTTATACATGTACTTTTTAAAATTTCTACTTTTTAAACTGATTCGTTTATTATTTTTCTCCAGGTAACATGCTTATGTTGGTATTTCTTTTTTTTATTTATTTGTTGTTTTTGTTTTAGTATTGAGCAATGTTTTATTAACTGCCACAAGGAAGATGAGAATTCAGTCCTCTCACCTTCCACCTCAGTTACATTCTCACATTCTGTCTCTTCTCTGCCTCTCTCTCTTTATCCCCTTCCCCTCAGTTTGCCAACTTCTTCCAATATGGTTCTGTTGTAATTTTTGTTAGAATAATATTTATTTTGTTATGGTTATACAAACACAATTTGCAGTCTCTTTTTTTTAAAAAAATAGAACTTGTCTTTTTTTTTTTGTGTTTCTTAGATTAATTAATTCAATCCTCAATTCTCTCCAGGTTGTGTAAATCTTGAAACTTTTAAATACGCCAGGGATTTTGTCAGTTTATGTTTGTGCATAAATCTGTCTGAGCATCTCTAACTGGATTTCCAGTGTTTTTCACCTAAGGGCTCATGTAGACACTGTTGATGTATAGTACAGAGTATAACTGAGGCTGGTGGCCAGACATGTCACAGGGGCTCCAGCAGCCTCAGCTCCTATAGGCAGCCCTAGGTCTGAAGTGATACCCGTAATGCAGTGAAGTCAGAACTCATTCGTTAGAAAGCTATGAGGCAAGGGTCTCCAACACCATCTGGATTGTTCTTTATACCTTTTTCTTGTTATGGATCCTCTTTTTCCTTCATTTCCTGTCTGTCTCTTATTTCTGCATATTGGTAAAAGCATATATTTTAGTATCTATTTGCTGTTGTAGATACTTCCTGTTGTCTGTAATAACTAGCTTGCAGATATAATTTACTTCTTAATTTAGCTTTCAAAAAACTTAAAAAGTCTGTCCATTACTATTATTGAGAAGATGCAGGACAATTAGAACTTTCATATATTACTATCAAGAGTTTAAAATGATACAAGATAGAAGCATTGGTATTTCTGAAATGTGTTTAGTCTGCATTCATGTGTGATTGATAGTTTTTCTAAGTATAGAATTATAGGTTGAATAATTTTGTCAAGATTTTGGAGGCATTGTTCCCTTGTTTCTTCTTAAGGATGTGTCTTCATTAATTATGCTCTACACTCCTTGGGCCCCTTTTAGTCTAATTTGTCAACTTGGGAGCTTTTCTTGTTTTATTGCTTTGATTTCTTTTTTCTCTGGTTTCTCCTTTTTTTTCCTTGGAACTTACATTTTTAGAAATTGGACCTTCCAGGCTGATTTAATTGTATTACTTTCCTGTTTTCCATCTGTCTTTTGTTTCATTTTCTGAAAAACTTTTCCTAAACTTTTTCTTGCAACACTATTATTAAATTTCTAATAATACATTTTTAATTTGTAAGAGATGGCTTTTGTCAAAGAATCTGATCTCCCTGTCTGCAGTGAATTCTGTTTTTATTTCATGGGTAGAATATCTTTTCATATCTCTGAGGATGTAAGTGATTTGAGTTTTTCTTTGCCCATACTGTTTGTTCAGGTTACTATTTCTCTTTGTTTTGATTTTTAACTTTCATTAATTAGAATTGTTTGTATTTTGGTAGGCACCCTGGTTGCTGCTCATATTTATGTGAAGACTCAAAAAAAAAAAAAAAAAGAAACAACCAAACCATTTTTGGGGGGGAGAGTCCTGGGGATTGAACCCAGAGGCACTTAACCACTGAGCCACATATCCAGCTCTTTTTATTTTTTTGAGAGGGCATCTTGGTAAGTTGCTTAGGGCCTCACAAAGTTGCTGAGGCTGGGCTTGAACTTGCAGTCCTCCTACATCAGCCTCCCAAATCACTAGGAATAAGGTGTATGCTGCCACAACTGCTCAAAAAAAATTTTTGTTTGGAACTTTGCTTTGCTTAGAGCGGACTCACTGACTTATTGGGTAATAGGGTGAGCTATCTTGATGGCAAACTCCTACTGTTATATTTTATCTTAATCTGTTCATATACCCACACAGATTTGTTTAGACTTCTGCCTGGTGAATCTTCATCTGGCTGTCAGTATCCTGGGAACTGAATAGGGACAATGAGGCACAGTTTAGCAGTCCCATTTTTGGTATGGCATTCCCCAATCTCAAGTCTTCCAAGATCCCTCAGTTAAGAAGTATTCTGTTCTACTTTTCCAGAACATAGATCTCTCTTCTGCTGCCAGAGTGAACAAAGGTAGTCCTCCTTGAGACTTAATATTTAGCTCTCTTAGGTCTTCTAAGTCAGTTGCCATCATCTGTCTGCTTTCCAGCTTCCAAAATTTTAGGGTGTTACTACATTTTCTTTTCTTGTGTGTGTGTGTGTCTGTGTATGTGTGTGTCATTGTACATCTATCACTTTTTTAAAAAAAAATCTGTTTTCTCTTATTTTAGAAATATTTCAAGAGGTAAAACAAAGGAAAATCTACTTTTAACTGGAATTCCTAATATTCTTCCAATAGATCTTTAGTTAAATGAATAATGATCATTCATTAACAATAACAGTAACAATAATAATTATTGTTACTCATATTTTCCTTTTATGCCTTACAGAAAACTGAGACATTTTTACAAAAAGATCACTTACTTTCTTATTAGATGGTTATTATATACAATCGATGGTGTTGTTCTGATCCTAAGGAAAGCAGAACATATCAGTCCTTGGCAGTACAGTTTTGCTTGTATTTCTGTCCAGGTAACATACAACACAACGCTAAGTGGCAAAGATGTCATTCGTCACTGGAGCTGGACCTCGGACATGCCTTTGGAGTGTGCTACTCATCATGTGGGAATTAGATGCTACATTGACTATCCTCTTTTCTCTGGTCGAAAAGAATGGAGTGACTGGAGCCCAGTGAAGAACATCTCTTGTAAGCTCGTATTTGAAAATTTGTTTCAAATGCATTAGGTTTCTCAAGGGTAAGGTGTAGTTTACGAATTCAGTTCTTTGAACCCCAGTGTCTTCAGGAGGTTCATCTGGGGAGCTTCCAATCCTGGCATCCCAGGAGATTGGATTGGAAAAGTCCGAGATAGATTCCATGAATCTACTTTAAAATTACTAGGAAATTCTTTTAAAGTGATCAGCTAAATATTAATATTTGAAAGTCACCAACATAGGCATTGAGGAATAAACATTGTATGTTGGTGGAAATGAGATCAAAGTCTATATTTTTAAGAAATGGTTCCCAATCTTTGGTCCATAGAACAGATCCATGCAGGCTGCTAGTTATTGTAGGGAACAAGGGAAACTGCAAGCATACCAAAAATCATCTGTACATCAAATTCATGCATAGGTTGAATGTCATTAAGATAGAACAGGGCCAGAAATTTAATTAACAGTAAAATAAAGTCCTGAAGAGAGGTGGTAATCATTGTGGGTAGACCATTCTAGTGACAATATGGAGAAATGAATCAGAGCCAGGAAAGTAAGTAAATAAGGAGAAATTGGGGCAGTTGAACAAAAGACAATGAAAATGTAATCTGGGACGCTGGGGTTTAGAAAAGAAAAGGGGAAAAGGTGTGAAAACACTGAAGAGGCAAAATTAGTTTTGGGCAGCTGAGTGGCTCACGGTACCATTCACTGACACAGAAAATGTACAAACAAATTAGTTGGGAAAGAAAAATTTGTTTTTAATATGTTGAGCTTGAGGCCCTGAAGCATCTGGGTATCAGGGCCTCACAGGCAATTGGAAAGATAAGTTCAACATCCAGATGGGTTGGTGCAGCTGGGGAGGATGTGAAATTAAGATGACTTAGGGAAAGATAATGGGGACCAGGGACACATCCTTTAGAGTTCCTGTGTCTGGGACAGAGGAAGGCAAGGAGCCAGAGGATTAAGAAAAGCACAGTAGCCCAGAAAAGTACAGTGTTAAGGAGCCTAAGAAGAGGGAATTTGAGAAGGAAAACTTTAGACAGCATACCAGATACCCTGGAAGTTGAAGGAAAAAGATGACTGAGACCATTGGATTGAACAGTGAGGCCACTGAGCCGTCTATTAGAACTGTGGGGTAGAAGCCAGACTAGTAGAGTGAGAAAGGAGAATAGACTGGCTACTTGAGGGAGTGGTATGGCTTTAACCTACAGAGCTGGAATTAAAGAAAAAATAATTTTAGGATGTGGAATACTTGATCATGTTCAGGCTGATGGAAAGTAAGAAATCTGCCCTAAACACAGAGAGTAATTTCAAAGGAATGGAGTTAGTGATTTGGGAGGGGGGTGTGCATTTATTGTGTATGTATATAAACCCAATGAATCTGAACTTTTAATTTAATTAAATATTAACCTGTGACTTAGACATTGGCCTTGGTCCACTTCCGTCTTCAACCACTATCCTTTCATAAGTGAAGAAAACCACAGTTTTATTCTATCCTTGTATATATGTCTTGCTCCTTTGGAACCTGCATGATAGAATTTATATTTTGGCCAGCATTATTCCAGAATACCTAACAAATATGTTCTGCATATAGTGGGCTATTTAAAAAAATCATCTTGGGAAAAATTTTAATATAGAGACTATATATAAAAAGTATATCTAAAATATTTAATTCCTTTTGTTTATTCTAGGGATTCCTGATTCTCAGACCAAGGTTTTCCCCCAAGACAAAGTGGTACTTGTAGGCTCAGACATAACATTTTGTTGTGTCAGTCAAGAGAAAGTCTTATTAGCACAGATTGGTCATAAAAACTGTCCCCTTATCCGTCTCGATGGAGGAAATGTTGCAATTGAAATCCATAATATTTCTGCTTCTGCAAATAGTGGAACAAATGTGGTTTTCACGACAGAAGACAACATGTTTGGAACAGTTGTTTTTGCAGGATGTAAGTATATAGTATTAAAGAGAGACTTTCCATTAACTTGTTTCGGTCCTCTGGGAGGCCTTAATTCCTTTTGTATAAGATGATTCTGTTTTGCTCTTACTTCTTTGTTCTTTAATATTAACAATTTACAAAATCCCTAGAATTCTTGCCTGTTTTAAAGCATTTCCTAAGTTTGTTTCCTATAGAACTATTTTTATATAATGTGTAGGTTTTGCAATAAGATGTGAAATAACTAACTGCTAATGTTTAACTTCTTAGCAGTTTTGTTGATTCAGGGGTCCTCAGTATATAGTAGTTCTTAATCCTGCATTGCTTAGGAATTATGGAAGTTAATTTTCCACAAATTCAAGTCTAACCCTTTGAAGTACCTAAATTTTAAAACTAGGATTTGACACAAAATCTTATAATAACAGAACATATCTTCTCTTTTTATTTTTATTTATTTGGTACTTTTGCAAGCTGGGGATTAAATCCAATCCCTATTCATTGTTAGGAAAACACTTTACCACTGAGCTACATTCTCAATGCTTCTCTAATTTTTAAATAACATGTTTGAGGAGAACAGAGTGGCCATCGGATAGGATCGCCATGTTGTGTCCTGTCATTCAGAGGCACCGTTAGTGACACGCTTGCTCCTACAATCTAAAATTCTATATTTCTAGAAGTTGTGGTGGTGGACTATCCTGCCTAAGTGGCTTGGGTTGTGTGTTTGGAATTTTTAGTTTTGACTTTAGGGATTTTTCTGCTTCCTCCCTTGTGGCTTCACCTCCAGAAGCAATTCCTTTTTTTCCTGCATTTGGAATAATCAGTCCTTGAGTTTCATGTAAGGTCTCATGAATAGAGTTGTGAAATGGATTGAGCAGATTTTATGATGATTCTTTAGGCTGCTTAGTGATATTTCTTTTACTCTTTTATGAATTTTGTGACAAATCACATTCGGATGCTGATGTAGAGTCCCAAGGGAACAGCAAGATTAGGTACATTTTTCAATTCATGGTGAGTCTTACTCTCTTTTTATCTTCCCAATAGTACATTTTGAAATTCCAGGGAAACTGAGGTTCTATTCAGATATAATTTTTATAAAATTATACTTTCTTTTCCAAGGGAACTTTAGGAATTACTTGCAACATTTCTCACGAATGATCTTGGTGTCTCGGTGAGAACCTTTGATAAATGCAGTGAAATTGCTTGATAAGAGAACAAAAAGTGAGCTGTACACTTAAAAGTATGAGTGAAAGGTTGAAACTTTAAAAAGATGAGAATATGTACTACTTTCCACTTTCCACTGGTGTTATTTCAGACAGCATTTTAATCTTTTACCTTAGTAAGCCCTTTTAGTTCATAATTTAACCTTCATTTATAACATCTGATGGTTGAAATATTGTTTGGTATTTGCCAGCTCAGAGCCAGTTGTAGCATTTCCCTCTGGGGTAGCCATGCAAAATCTACCAGAGCAGGTTTTGTTGTAAATTAGGGATAAAGATTTAGTTATTTTCTTCCCCCTATGGATTGCCTTTTAACCCAAATTTATTAAAAAGAAGTTTATAATCATCTTGTTAGAGTCCCCATGAACACACATAGACAATCAAAAACTGCTAGAATTTTTATTGGAATTACATTAAATATATAGATTAAAATTCAGGAGAATTTTAATTTTTACAACATTGAGTTTTCTAAATCATGAACATGGTATCTCTATATTTGTTGATTTATGTTAATGATATTAAATCTTATATCTTTTGCTAAATTTATTTCTATATGCTTGATGTATTCTGCTGTTACTAGAAGTAGCTTTGTTTTTAAGTTTTCATTTTATGTTTGCTGGTATATAAAAATACTTTTACCTAACTGCATTTGATTCTTTTATAAATTTACTCCTTCTGTCTTTCCTTCTGTTTCTTTTTAGTTACATTATTTGAATTTTTAGTATTTCAACTTAATATATATACTAAATAGTAGAATAGCATTTTAAATACATTCTAGATCTTTGGTGTGTGATTAAGTTGTTGAAAGTTTGACCTTACACTTAAAACAACTTTTGGAATAGACGGTCAGTATTCAATTGTTAAACTTTCAATAAACACTTATTAGTCCTCTTAATGTTAAAATGTCATCAAAGGACTTTATTCTTATATCTATGAAAAATATGTAAATTTTTCTAATTTAGGTTAAGAAACTAAAAAACTTTTAAAATTTTGTTTTTTTAAAAAATAAAATTATTTTACAGAATATTTTGAACAATAGGTACTTGTTTTTTAAAAACACTTTCACCTAAAGTGACAATAGGAAATACCAGTTTCTGTCTGTTAGGTTAAAAACAATTATAGAAATATCCAATTCTGTAATACCTAATGTCAGACTATAGCATTTTCATTTATCACTGTAACATTCTCACAAAACAAGCAAAACTGCCTTTTTTCCTTTTCTAGTCCTGCCCCAGCAAAACCAGGAGAACAATTTTTATAACATGACTTAGGGTGACTTCTAATGTACTTAGTACTTCTTTTCATTTCACAATATACAGATGATAACCGATGATAATTTAATTTTTCCTAACTTGTTGGATACATATTTCTTTGAGAATTTTGGTAAACTCTGAAATAGGATTTAAGAAAAAAATGATGATTTTGTTGGGAATTTCTGAATGAAGAGGCACTTTTTGGTTTACCTTAATCCATCATTTCTCATGTTACAGCAGGATGAAGATTCCTGTATTGTTCAGTTGTAAAATGAAAATAGTAAATTATTTATTTTTTAAGGAAATAGTGCACAATGTCATTAACATATTATAGAACATTACATTTTCAGCAAAAAATATATGTAATTTTATGTAATATTTTTTTTCCTCTTTCTGTTAGATCCACCTGATAGTCCCCAAAAACTGAACTGTGAGACACATGATTTAAAAGAGATTATATGTAGCTGGAATCCAGGAAGACCGACAGCGTTGGTGGGCCCTCGAAATACCAGTTACACTTTATTTGAAAGGTAATGGTAGGATGTCATCTGGTGGATGTGACATAGGGAAGTGTTCTATTTTATTCCTGTTGTGAGCAAGATATGAAACTGAATATGCCATATAAAATTGTATGTACTGTAAAAACTGTAGCATAACCACATATAGATTCAATGTCATGTCTCTTAAAGTCTAGATGGAAGGACCTCCAGATGTGATCAGTTTTTTCCTGGGTTATTTGGCCAATTATTTCCTATAGTATACACAGCTTCTCTGAGTGTATAATATATCCTTAATTAGAAAAATAAACTTTATGTAAAGAATAATTATTAGAAACTTGCTTATTCATTTTTTCCTGCAATATTTATCTCTTTTAATTTATAGTTTTTCAGGAAAATATGTTAAATTTAAAAGAGTTGAAGCACTTACAAATGAAAACTACCAGTTACTCTTCCAAATGCTTCCAAATCAAGAAATATATAATTTTACTCTGAATGCTCGCAATCCTCTGGGGCGATCGGCATCTTCAATATTAGTCAACATAACTGAAAGAGGTAAGCTGTGGCATCAACCAGTGTCTTAAAAATAATTAAGAAGTAGTGAAGTGCCTTGGGGTTAACAAAAATGCTTCTAGGGATTACCAATTATTTAGAGTTCCTCAATTTTACAATTTTATTTTAAGAGCTTTAAAATTAATAATTTCTCATTTTACACGTTATTGACTTTAAATATAAATTTGAATTAGTCATTTTAAATAGAACCTAGTTTTGTCTAAGAGTTCTTGATTTCTGAAAAGTTGTTTGCCCAATTTTTAAAAACTTTTATTTTAAAATAATTTTTGACTCCCAGGTTGTTGCAAAATTAATGATTTAGAACCTTCCGAAACTTTCCCCTGACTTTTCCTAGTGGTGGCATATTACATAACCAGTACAATATCTAAATCAGGAATTCAACACTAGTATAATACTCTTACGTAGACCACCGAACTAGACTACTCACCTTGTGCAGTTTTTATGTTATTTATTTATCTGTATGTGTCGGGGTCGGGGAATCTGTGGCAGTTTATCCCTGTAAAGCTTCAGGTAACCACCATCCCAGTGAAGATTCAGAACTGCTCTGACACTACAAAGACCTTTCATGTACACACACAAACACTTGGCATCCCTGTCCTTTACAACAGCTGACTGTTCTTTATCTCAGTTTTGTCATTTTGAGAATGTTATAAAAGTGAAATAATACTGAGTGTAACCTTTTGAAGTTGGCTTTTTTTTTTTTTAACTAAGGGTTAGAGTTAAATCCTGGAGATTCATCCACATAGTTTTGTTATCAATAGTGATGGTTTCTGAATCTTTACCATCCCTATGAATAGATAGCTTAAAATAGACATAAATTATTGATGTTGGCATTCATTCCTGAGGTCACTCCATGTGCATTAGCTCCATGCCAGGTATATAATCTGCTGAGCAGGGCACAGAGACCTTCTTTTAGGGACTCACAGTCAGGGGAGAAAGGGCTTCAATCAAGTGCATTATCAGATAGCCTGGCTAGCGATGGGGATGATCCTGTTGCCTTATTTGCAAATATGAGTCAGATTTATTCACTATTTCTTCCTGTCACTTTTATTTCCTGATTCCTTCTATGATTGAAAGGCTACATTTTGGAGTTAAATGGTAGTATTTGTTTGCCTTTTGCCATTGCAACCTTATATCCCACATAATTCTTTCCCACCACTCATGTTGGCCTATATGTGATCATCACCATGATGTGTGAGGTTCTCACTGTGCCTTCATTTCTGCCAAAACTCCATCCTGAAAGGTTTTCTACATCTCTTCTGCCGGTTTTACTCAAACGCTCCATGTGAAGCTCACCTTATATCCTACCTTCTCTGTAAGCCTTCTCCTTCTGTTGTACATTTAAATCCCTGTGGCACCTGACTTTTGTACCATGCATCTAGGGCCTACCGTTTTTGCTCTTGTCAGTTTTTTTGTTTGTTTGTTTATCATCCTCCCATGATGTATATTAGAAATTCCTTAAAGGTAGAGACCTTACCAACTTTTAGTATCCTCAATACCAGCTGAAGAACCTTGAGTGTGCTTAGTGATTAAAAAAACATGTTGATATAATGTCAGCAGCAGAAGTGAAATTTATGCAGAAGTGAAAATTATGCAGAAGTGAAATTTATTACAAGCAATGAAATTGAAGATGCTGCCAAAAGCCTACCAAAAAAGAAAAGCCCACAGGACCAAATGGATTCTCAGTCAAGTGCTACCAGACCTTCAAAGAAGAATGAACACCAATCCTTTTCAAATTATTACAAGAAATAGAAAAGGAGGGAACTCTCCCAAACTCATTCTATGAAGTTAGTATCACCCTGACACCCAAACCAAAGACATAGCAAGGAAAGAAAACTTCAGACCAGTATCCCTAATAAACATAGATGCAAAAGTTCTTAAGAAATTCTAGCAAACCACATACAAAAACATATTAAAAAGATAGTGTACCATGACCAATTGGGTCTCATTCCAGGAGTGCAAAATTGGTTCAGCATATGGAAGTCAATAAATGTAATTCATCGAATCAATAGATTTAAAGACAAGAATCATATGATTATCTCAATAGATGCAGAAAAAGCATCTGACAAAATACAACACTCCTTTATGTTCAAAACATCAAAAAACAAAACAAAACAACAGCAAAGAAACAGGGATAGTAGGAATATACCTCAACATTCTAAAAACTATATATGCTAAACTAAAGGCCTTTAAAAACTAGAACAAGATAGGGATGCCCTCTTTCACCACTTCCATTCAACATAGTCCTTGAAATCCTTACCAGAACAACTAGGAGGGAAAAAAGGATTCAAATAGGAAAAGAAGAACTCAAACTATCCCTATTTGCTGGTGACATTAATCTATATATAGAAGACCTAAAAAAAACTCTACCAGAAAGCTTCTAGAACTTATAAATGAATTTATCAGTGTAGCAGGATACAAAATCAACACCCCATAAAACAGTAGCATTCCTATACACCAATTATGAATCCACTGAAAGAAAAATTAGTAAAATTATTCCATTCACAACAGCCTTAAAAAAATACTTGGGAATCAGTCTAACAAAAGAGGTGAAAGACCTCTACAATGAAAACTACAGAACACTAAAGAAAGAAATTGAAGAAGACCTCAGAAGATGAAACCATCTCCCATGTTCTTGGTTAGGCAGAGTTTATATAATCAAAGTGGATATACTCCCAAAAGTGTTATACAGATTTAATAACAACTCCTATAAAAATTCCAATAACATTCTTCATAGAAATAGAAAAAGCAGTCATGAAATTCATTTGGAAAAACAAAAAAGTTCTAGAATAGCCAAAGCAGTCCTTATTGAGAAAAGGGAATTAGGAGGTATCACAATACCTGACCTTAATTATATTACAGAACTACAGTAACAATGCAGCATGGTATTGGCACAAAAACAGACATGTAGACCAGAGATTCAGAATAGAAGACACAGAGACAAACCCACATAAATACAGTTATCCTAAACAAAAGATAAATAAGCAGGAGAAAAGATAGTCTTATCAACAAATGGTGCTGGGAAAACTGGAACTCATATGTAGCAGAATGAAATTGAACCCCTCTCTCTCACCCTGTACAAAACTCAACTCAAGGTGGATCAAGGACCTAGGCATTAGACCAGAGTCCTATGCCTAGCAGAAGAAAATGTAGGTCCAGCTCTCCATCATATAAGCTTAGAAACTGACTTCTCAACAAAACTGCTAAAGCACAAGAAGGAAAATCAAGGATCAATAAATGAGATGGTATCAAACTCAAAAGCTTCTTCATAGCAAAGGAAACAATCAAGAAATTGAAGAGAGCCTTCAAAATGGGAGGAAATCTTTACCATTTGTAATCATATAGAGCATTGATCTCCAGGATATACAAAGAACTCACAAAAACTGAACACTAAAACAAACAAACAAATATAAAAACCAAATATCCCGGTCAATGAATGGGCAAAAGAACTGAACAGACACTTCACAGAAAATGAAATACAGATGGTCAAAAAATATATGAAAAAATGTTCCATATCTGTAACAATTAGATAAATGCAAAGTTAAACTATACCAAGATTCCATCTCACTCCAGTCAGAATGGCAATTATCAAAAACACAAGTAACAATAAATGTTGGTGAGGAAGTGGGGAACAAAGTTTCACTCATACATTGTTGGTGGGAATACAAATTGGTGCAACCACTCTGGAAAGCAGTATGGAGATTCCTCAGGAAACTTTGAATGGAACCACTCTTTGACCCAGTTAGCACACTTCTCGGTTTATACCCAAAGGTTTTAAAATCAGCATACCAGAGTGAAACTGCCACATCAGTGTTTATAGCAGCTCAATTCACAATAGCCTAGGTGCTATTCAACAGATGAATAGATAAAGAAAATGTGGTGTATATACACAATGGAATATCTCTCAGCCTTAAAGAAGAATGAAATGATGGCATTTGTCAGTAAATGGATGGAACTAGAGACTACCATGCTAAGTGAAATATGCCAATCCCCAAAAACCAAAGGCCGAATGTCTTCTGATAGGTGGATACTGACACATGTAAGGTGGGAAGGGAAAGAAGAAGAGAAGTTCATTAGATTAGACTGAGGGGAATGAAGGGAAGGGAAAAGAACAGGAGAGACAGTAGAATGAATCAGACATAACTTTCCAGTGTACATGTATGAATATATGACCAGTGAAACTCCTCATCATGTACAACTGCAAGAATGGGATCCTGATTAGAATAAGTTATACTCTGTGTATGTGCAATATGTCAGAATATGCTTTACTGTCATGTATGTATAAAAAGAACAAATTTTTAAAAATAGGAAAATAGTATGCACAATCAGGCTGATGTAAACACTACCATTTCTCCTTTCCAAGTGTGTGCATTCTAGAAATGGTAATAAGTTACTGGACCTCAGGAGTTTATTTTGTTGTAAATTGTATGGAACATATTATTTGGATTTGATTTTGCATGATTGTTTTCACTTTTATTCTATTTTCTTTTAAACTTATCCCTGTCCCCATACTGGGCTTTGATCTCTTAAACTATTTAGATGGTATGTGGGCTAACTCAAGTCAGACATCTTTTGAGAAAAAAGAAAAAACAAACAAACAAAAAAATCCACTTTTTAAAAGCTAACATTTTTTTTTCTTCTTCAAAAAAGAAAGTAAGTAAGTTTGTGGATCCCACAGAATGCCGCGTAGAATATTGTTCTTCAGCACTAATGATACCTCCTGGATTTTTGTTTTCTTTGGTTCTTTGCATATTTGGAGATAGTAGTACATCTTTAAACAAATGTTTAAGAGAGTATTAAAATTTCTATTTACAGTTTCTCCCCATACTCCTACTTCATTCAAAGTGAAGGATATTAATTCAACAGCTGTTACACTTTTTTGGCATTTACCAGGCAACTTTGCAAAGATTAATCTGTTATGTGAAATTGAAATTAATAAAGCTAATTCAGCACAAGACTTGGTAAGTAAGATTTGTCTCCAAACATCCCTTTTGGTTATTCTGGGTAAAACACTTAGTATTTAAAGAAAAGTAAGTAAATTCATATGTGTAAGCACTCAGATTATCTATTACAGTTATTTTCTAAGAACCAAGAAAGACATTACATATCAGTATAATATTAATACTCTATTTAGTTCACAAAAGCAATTATAATGCTGGGTATTATAGAATGGTAAGTTTAGCTTTTCTGCTCAGAATGCTCCCAGGTCTAGTGTATAGCACCTGCCATGTATCTGGTGCTCAACGAGTTTGTGAGTGAATCATTAGTTTTTGTTGTAGACTTTAGTGTCGGTTAATGAACTAATTGGCACCAAAGAATAAAAGTGATTTTTTTAATTGAAAAGTAAAACAATGGGACCAAATCATAATTGGTAATTATAAGTCAAAACATGATTTTTCAGTACATGTTAAGTATTTAGATTGACTTTTCTATCTTGTAATTTGGGTTAAATTTAAAATGACTAATGTTATACTTAAATTCACTGGTTTCTAGAAATTCTGTCAAAACGACAAAATGTATTCTGAAAATCTTCCTTGTAATAAGTACAGAGGCTTTCTTGAGGCATGCAGATTCCAAAATTTGTTTAGAACTACTTCATTTAAATTTTACTGGTTTAGTTTAAATAAGTTGTTGCAGGACTATTTATAGGATGACTAGTGCCATAATAGAGGTCCTAAGTGACACAGAAACAGAGATGCATAAAAGTCAATGTCTGCTTCCAGGAAGCTTTCAAATACCTTCTGAATGATATTATTTAATCCTCAAGATCATCTCAGACTAGTGATTGCATGGTCACTAGTCGTTGACTCATTATCACAACTTGCATCTGCTACACAACTTAATTAACCATTATAACTTAGATCCAGTATTCAGATTTAAAAGACACCACAATATTTTATTGCTACAATGTAGCATAATTTTATTGACTTGACATTTCATGAGAATTAAAATGCTATAGTAGATTAACCCTATTTGGTATTATAATTGCAAACTGTTATGGCCTTTTTGAGTCAATATAGGTTATAAATGTAGGAGGTTTCTTACAAAAAAATCTGCGTATATGAGTACATAGATGCATTCATACACACATGGCATATACATGTACCTGTTTATTTGTTTTCAAAAAGCGGAATGTCACAATCAAAGGAGTAGAAAATTCAAGTTATCTGGTTGCTGTGGACAAATTAAATCCATACACTATATATACCTTTCGGATTCGTTGTTCTGCTGAAACTTTCTGGAAATGGAGCAAATGGAGCAATGAGAAAAAACATTTGACCACAGAAGCCAGTAAGTTAATGAAGAGGCTTGTGACTGCTTATGATTTGGGGGAGATGGGAAGATGTGAGAGAGGCACCCAGGGACCACTCACAGACAACCTTAAGGATGATTTGAACCTCCGAGGCCTTGTGTTTTATAGAAGTTGAGAATTTAGGTCTTATGTTTCTTTTTCTAAGTAGATGCTACTGAACTGCCTCACATTATATTGAAATTTCCAAATATCCTACAAAGAAATGCAAGCACCACCACCTCAATTATATTATCCACTGATGTACACAAGGCCTCTTCAAACACTAAATTTTAAATCTTCTTCCTAGTTCCTTCAAAGGGACCAGATACTTGGAGAGAATGGAGTTCTGATGGAAAAAACCTAATAATCTACTGGAAGGTAAATATCTAATTTAAATAGCTTTATTGTGCTCCCATGTGTAACTTGCATACGATACTTGGCTGTCCAGGGGCCAAGACTTCCAAGATTGGCTAAGTTGGCAGCATTGCTGAGATCTAACCTGGCTCCTAAGACTCCCGGGCTCCTCATTCACTCCTAATTCACCAGGATCCTTGTATTGAGGATCCTCTGTCTCCGTTCTGAGCTCTCTTGACTCTCATTTTATGAGGTCTGTGAAGAACCTAAGAATTTCTCCTTTGTTTTAGTCAGAAACTTATAGCCGTAAACCATAGAGTCCCAAGTGTGGGTTACATTTTTGTTTTATGAGCAGTGGACCCCAAACAGTGCCATATAAATTTGTGCAGTTGTTTCAGAAGCAGTTTGAACAATTGAAGTGAAGTGTGAAGTTCATTTCTTTTTTAAATCAACTTTTGGGAATCCATGTTGAAGAATTAATAAAATATGAAAAAGGAAAAAAATGAAAAAAATATGCTACAAAGACATTCAATAAAATGTTATTTTAGTATTGTGAAAAAGTGGGAACAACTTAAATTCCATTTGTTTAAGACATATTCAGATATTCTGGTGAAAATGGTACATGAAATATAAAGCCATTAAAATGTATGTAATTATTAATATAGAAAAGAAAAGTGAAAAAAAGTATAAAATTGTGTAGTATGATTAGAATCATGTTTAAGGGAACTTCTTTTCAGTTCATATGGCAGACTTGAAATTAAGATAAGTTACACCATTTAATAACATCATCACAAGTCATGCTGGGGTCATTAATTAAAAAAATAACAATAAATAAAACTCTACACCTAGAAAAATACCTTAAAAGAGAGATTAAAATACAAGAGTATCCAAAAGGTGGGAATGTAGGAGATTTTTTTTCTTTGCATTTTTTATATATTTTCCAATTTTCTGTAGTGAACATGTACTACTTTAAAATGAGAAAATAGTGCATAATACCACAATTTTTAATGTTTTGTATAGAGCAGTGCCTCTGACACTTTAAAATTTTCCTTCTGAAATTGTGAAGATAAATATAGTTTTGTATTTACTCAATTTTTAAATTTCTGGGTGCTTGTAATACTTAGAATAGGGATGGATGGCTTTTGCTTCAGTATCACTTTTGCTGATATAGCCAGCTCTTAGTGGACTGGAAACCTGTTTTATGGTCGTGACCACTTTGTCTTTTCTAATGTGACTCTGTTATGTAATCACATCATCCACTTCAAACTTGACGACCTTGCCTCATTGCAGCTGCTTTTTGCAAGTATTTACTACCAATTTATTTTTCTGTTTTCTTAGCCTTTACCCATTAATGAAGCTAATGGAAAAATACTTTCCTATAATGTATCATGTTCATCAAATGAAGAAACACAATCCCTTTCTGAGATCCCTGATCCTCAACACAAAGCAGAAATACAACTTGATAAAAATGACTACATCATCAGTGTGGTGGCAAAAAATTCAGTTGGTTCATCTCCACCTTCTAAAATCGCTAGTATGGAAATCCCAAATGGTAAGTACTTAAGAAAACTTGGAGTATAAGAGCAGGAAAATAAAGTAAAAAATGTCTATGTTACTTGCTTCTATGTACTGACATATATCATGTATGGAGGAACAAGCAGATTAATGTCTAATATTCACTGAGAGCAGTCATTAGTATTGACTTGAAGCATTGTACACTTATAAAATTATTACTGTTTCCACTTTATCACATAATGTTAAGAATTATGGTTATGAATAGTACTCTCATTAAGAAATAATTTTAACTTTTTATTCAAGTACTGTTTTCAAATCTCTCTCCAAGATGACAGGAGCCTATTCTGTCAGCCAGGCTGTTTTACAAACTATCAGGCAGAAGAAGAATATTTGTTTTAATTGGTAATTTTGTTGATAAGAAAGTCTTCCTAAAGTCTAAATTAGATCTTTAATACAGGCTTTGGGGAAAGGAAAAAAAACAACAACAACAATTGTAGTGAAATTTAAAAATTATAAGTGTCTTCCTTTAAATTTTACAGATTACCAATGATTACTGTACTCCTCCTTAGCTTCTACCTGGACAGTTTTTTGAATCACGGTTTCAAATTACCACTCCACCTCTTTTTCCAATGAACCACTAAATCCTTAAATCAATTGAGAAATTACTTTTTTTCTCCTGTTACTGTGGGAAACTTCCCTCTCCCTTTGATTTCATTGCCCTGCACCCCCCCCTGTCCCACTGGCCTCAGGCCCCACCCCTCATCTAGGCACAGATTTGGCAGAAGTCTAAACCAGGGCACCCACAGGGCCCCTAGTGCTATCCCTTGGGTCCCCGCCTCTGCCATGCATGCCTCAGTCTTCCAGGGGTCGCTGTGGAGGCTGGCTCAGCCACTGTCCCTTTCCAATCTTCACCACACCAGCACATTCCTCCTCCCCACCCTGCCCCTGGTCAGCCAGAGTCCCCTCAGCTCAGCTCTGGGATCAAAGATTCCTGGAAAGGAGGACGAGGGGCCTTGCCACCCATTCTTTTCCTGATGTGTCCATTCTGCATACTGTGCTGAGGCTGCTCTCTGGGGCTCACATTGCATTCAGAGAGGTTAATTAGAATGGGGGTTAAACTGCCCCCTGGTGTCCTTCACCAGCCTCCTGCTTCTCTTCCTCATCTTGAGTGGCCATGCCACTTCCCCTCCGGTGCTCATCCCCATCGCATTCCCTCAGCCCCCTTCTCCTGACTCTGGATCTTCCAGCCCCAGTGCATCCCTGCTTAATCATTGGTGCTTTTTAACCTTTTCCAGCTGCAATGCTAATCTTTGTGTACAGGTAAGTGCTGTAAATGTTAAATAAATAGAATGAAGCAGCACTTCTAATCTTTATGCTTAACATTTATCTAGTGTGAGCACTGTTTTGTAATCTTGTGTACGCTGAAGTTTATTGTCATGAAGTAAGCTTTACAATATTGTTTTTAATGCCAGTAAAATATCATTCTTTGTTGAAGATGATCTCAAAGTAGAGCAGGCTGTTGGAATAGGAAAGAAGATTCTCCTCACCTGGCATCATGACCCCAATATGACTTGCGACTATGTTATTAAATGGTGTAACTCATCTCGGTCAGATCCCTGCCTTATGGACTGGAAAAAGATTCCTTCAAATAGCACCGAGACCATAATAGAATCTGGTAAGATGAATTAGTGTCTCTCAAAGTTCTTAAAAATATTTTTCAGAAGCAATACAAGAGACCAGGGCCAGTATGGCCAGCATTTTCCTTTTACCAGTGGGAAGATGGGAACTGGTTTAGCTCTTCTGGAATGTGGTTTGTAGCAGTATGGATGGATGTGAAAGGATTCTAACTCTGTGATCTAGTAATTACTTGTCTTGGAATTTATTCTAAGAAATAATTAGAGAACAACTCATTTGTATCTAACAATGTTCTCTACAACAGTATTTGTAATTATGAAAAATTGAAAACAACCCAAATAGCAGACAGTGTCTTTGGAGGTTGGTCCCCCTGTCCAGCCTCCATAGGACATCAGGGGGACAGTTTAACCCCCACTCAGTAAATATTGGTGACCACAGGCTTAACCTGCCTTGTCCTTTGGAACTGGAGTCCCTTCCTCATGTTCACGCCTGAGTGGCTGGTGAGCCGTGTAGTACTTTCCCCTGGGGATATGGAGCAGGCAGCTTGTCACTAGTGAGGCTCACTGGCCATCCCCTCCCCTGGCTCTCCCTCGAATGTTGGCAGTGCACATGAGAGCAAGTGGTGTGCAGGTCACTTTTCTCCTGGGAGTGCATTCTGTGGCTTCAGTGTTCTCCCTGTCAGGCTGTATGATTTTAGAGGTTGATCATCTCACTTTTGAATCTATAGACCACTGGTGTTCTGTGAGCACATAATTAAAGAATTAATTTATTAAGTATGTTAGAATAATTGTGTCCCAAACATTGAATGCAATTCTTACTCTACCATTTCTCCCCAAGCATTATCTTCCCTAATGAGCCCTAATTGCTCCTCAAGGCTCTGTTCAAACATCACTTCAGTGGCTTTTTCTGATCCTAGGCTCATTTGGTCCCTCACTTAAGGTCACACAGCATAGTATCTACAGTACAGAGCAACACACTTTATTATGGTTACCCTGTTCTGTGTCTTCCCACCACTGCCACCTTCTCCCACCAGGGACCTTGTTTTGTGCATTTTCATGCTGCTCACATTATGCACATTGCATTGGGATCCAGGCAGCATTTTAAATGTGATTTTAGGGTTGAAATTAAGATACCTCCCTTGTATGTGTGTGGAGTTAACTCACTTGGGGACACTTAAACTACAGTGTTGCAAAGAGGAACAGGCCTGGTTCCGTTTAACACCAAAGCTTCAAGGTAGAATGAAGCTCATAGATTCTGCTTCTTGGAGCACTGGTCTTCTTCAACCCAGAAATAACATCATGTAGGGAAAGGAGGGATTTATGGAAGGATGTGCACCTGGAGTGGGTTACTGACATGATCCTGGAATGAGTTTTAGGTTCTATGTTCTATATCTAAAATAGATAATCCTGGTAATTGTATGTGTGTATTTATGACACTTCACTAATCTGTTCATCCTATAGATCAGTTTCGACCTGGTGTAAGATACAATTTTTTCCTGTATGGGTGCAGAAATCAAGGATATCAATTATTACGTTCTATAACTGGATACATAGAAGAATTGGGTAAGTTAAGTGGGTAAGGATTTTTTTAAAGTTCAGGTAACATGAAAAATTACAACTCAGATGAGATTGAATTCCAAAAACAGATTGAATTAAGGTATTCAAGAAAGGAAAAATAATTCTTATGGTAAATTCAAAATTATTTATTTGGTTACTTGTTTTTTAATGTTTATATTTCACAATTTTATTATTGTCATTAAGAAAATTAAATGTTAGCTTGGATGTCAAAAATATTTTATTTCCATTTATACAAGTTTAAAAACTGTTAACTGTTAACTTATTTCAGGACTATCAATGAAGAAGGAAAATAAAATTTAATTATATTTGAGTATTCACTTAAAGATTTTGTACAAATTGTTTCCCTAGGTATGTGTTTTGTGCAGAAGTTGCATTGTAAGTTCTACCTTAGTTCCTATAAACCTAGCAGATAAATTTTGTGTTACTGTAACTGGAGGTTTATGGTTAAATAGAAAACACAGTTCTAATTCCAAGTTTAGCTGGTTTTGAGGCCAGAAATCTCATGAACTATTACAGTCTTACTCCATATTAGCAAACTTTCCTTCAGCAACTGACTCCGTTTTTGTTTTTACAGCTCCAATTGTTGCACCCAATTTTACTGTTGAAGATACATCTGCAGATTCCATATTAGTAAAATGGGAAGATATTCCTGTGGAAGAGCTTAGAGGCTTTTTAAGAGGGTATTTATTTTACTTTGAAAAAGGAGAAAGAGACACGTCTAAGAGGGGCAGTGTGGAATCAGGTAAGTAAATCCCTAGTGTGACTGTAGTGTTTATCAAAAGTTGCCATTACCCACGAAGGAAAGAAAAGAAATGGGAAAAGAGAGCTACTTTGGTTTATCAAAACTGTCTGAAAAAATAGGGAAATGAAAATGAAGTCATTTTATGGCTATGAGAGTGTCAAGACTTTAATATGTAAAAGTGGCATGTGTGGCCTTTTAGAAATCATTTAGGTCATTTACTCTGATGTCTGTTGAAAGTCCCATAAGGACAGAGAGTTTATTAGCCTTGCATGATCCATAACATAGCATCTTATGAAACTTACTTAAGAGAAAAATCCAGGAATCCAGAGGCTTCAGAGTCCCACTGTAATCTGACAGGGAGCCATCAGCATGGTCAGCCTCATCCTTAGCCCAGCCATAATGTGCTAGGAAACTTAAAATTGGTTTGAGTGGAGTTGTGAGTAGCCTTTCAATTTTAAAAAATACCATCAGTCCTGGTCAGTTGGCAAGTGTCCAGCAAGAGTTCTCAAATATGTAAGTACTGAAATGTCTGTACAGATTGCTGGCTTTCTCCTGAGCCGTGTTTCTGTCGGGAGGCAGCCGTTTCTTATCTACCGATGCACAGCACAAGAGGATCATCTTCTGAGTCTGAGAGCTTTTACTTCCATTAGGACCTCTCCTCAGAAGGAAACCCTTTTAATTATTTAAAGCCTGTCTGACAAGTAGAGAACAGCAGTGCTGCCCCAGGATGCTGACTGGCCATTGTCGGAGTCATTTCCGAGAGCTGCTGCGGTAATGTGCGCCCTCCCAGGTTGCTGACTCCTGCGATTCCTGACCCTTCAGGGTGGCCCATGGACAAGGAAACCCTAAATAGGAGATTCTACAAATATCCAGAGATGAATATAATTTTCCTCAAATGCTTAGAAATTTTATACTTGAACAAGTTGAAACCCTAGCATCTGGGTTTCCAGGTAGACATGGTGGGTTGTCACTTGAGTTAGAGTATAAAAGAACAGAAGTCACAGAGCCAGAAGGAAAAAGAGAATGCAGATGGCGAGACAACAGCCAAAAGGAGGATTCAGAAATGTTGGGGGTGGGCACAGGCAGATGACTTAGATGAGCAGAGGATGCTAAATCTAAATTTAAATTAGTGGGCCACTATCATGGAGAAGCAATGCACTTGACCCTGCAGGACCAGGTGTTGGAAGCAAATAGGAAAAATCTGAGATGAATGGAAAGTTGATTGAAGGAAGTGTCCCATAACTGCAGGACTGTGCTTATACAAAAGTAAAAGGGTATAACAAGTACACAGAAAGATAGCTAGGAATAGATGTATGCCAAGGTATATTGTAGTGAACCTCAGGTGCCTAATGCAGTCCTAGAAACAATCAGAGAAAATTGGGTTCCTTATAAGGGACCCAGGGCTAAGGCTCCAGAGTTCCCACATACAGATACTATGAGATTCCACAGTGGTGTCCTCAAAATATTGAGTGAAAATCATTTGCAATCATAGTTCTCTACTCTGCCAGTCTTCCCACCAATATGGCAGTAGATTGGGGACATTTCTAGACGTGAAATGCTGCAAGTGTGTACTTCCCCCATGCTACCTCACTCAGGAAACTGTTAAAAGAGTGTATTGCATTGGGAAGAGTGGGGAGTCCCAGGAAGCTGCAGAGGAGAGAAGGACAGGGAAGCCCAGAAGTCTTCCAGTCTAGAGCAGGAGGCAGGGAGGTGGCAGGAGAGATGTGAAACTGGAATTTTGTTAGACCACGTAGAAAATTGTATTGAGTATTCATTGGCATATGTGGGAAGAATTAGGAATTGGTACGTAGAAAATTAAACAAATTGAGGGGAGAAAGGCAGTAAGAAAGTAAGAAAACAGAAATGGAACTTTGTACCAAACCCTTTTTTATTTTTAGCAGTAACACATATTCATGAGATCATAATAATGTCAACATTGAATTCACCAAATGTTGCAAAGTTTCTTTATGAATGATATGGTTGAGGAGATAGCAGTAGTTGAAAAGAGCTAAATCTTCATCTGTCTTTTTGGATGTGATATTATCTAAAATTTAAAAGCTAGCAATCTAAGGTTATTTTAAAATATGAAGGTAAAAGAAACCCAAACATTTTGAAATGGTTATAGGTGGTGAGGGAGGGGGTCAGTAGGGAACTGCCACATTTTGTTGTTAGCCATTTACTATTTAATTTTTTAAACTATCATCTTGCATTATTTTGGATGCTATTTTTAAAAATAGAGTAAGTTTAAACAGTTATTCACACTTCTTTTGAAATAATACAAAGACTTCCTCCTAGTCTCTTATTTTAAAATTCCCATAACATGGATCTTTTTTCAAAGTGGTTTGAAGTCGTCTCTATTGATTTGCACTCCTGCCCTGTCCAGCCTCTGCCTCTGACTCACAGGCAGCATCAGCCCCGGTGGGTTTGGGTTGTGTGGTTTTCATAGTCTTAGTAATGGACAGGAAGTGACTTGTATTGATTGCCAGACGTACACCAGCCATTGTTCTAAAGGGTGTGTGTAAAACTTTACCCAGTCCTGTGAGCAAGTCGTGATGTTCTGTTTTCAGAGTCAAAGACCCTCAAATTCAGAGTAGTTTGAACACAGTCCTGACTGGCAGAGGTGGAATTTGAATGTGGCTCAAGCTGGCTCCTGATCCTGGGGGTAGCCAGCAGACAGATTCACTTAAAGAGTGACTGGTGTGACTGGCATGTATAATCATGGATTAAAGATTGTGTAGAGATGAGTTAGGATGTTCTTCATTTTAAAAACAGGTCGTTCCGACATAAAGGTTAAGAATATTACTGACATATCCCAGAAGACACTGAGAATTGCTGATCTTCAGGGTAAAACAAGTTATCATCTGGTGTTGCGAGCCTATACAGATGGTGGCATGGGCCCAGAGAAGAGCATGTTTGTGGTGACAAAGGAAAATTGTAAGTCAAATACTGACCTTGAAATGTCTTCCATCCTTCAGCTCATAGTGTTCCTAGCAATTTTTAATCTGAAAAAATCCCTTTCTCTCCTTTTTAAAAAATAATTTTACATTTTATTGAATTTTTATACTAGGATAAAAGGTTATGGGATGACCTCTCATTTATTCCTGTCAGTTATTTGAAGCTATTTCCAAATGGGTACCTAAGAAATTAATGAATCAGAGATACATCCAAAGTCTAAAAGTGAGAGTTCATATTGAATTTGTATACGTCAACCTGTTTAAATTTAACTGTCTGTAATTTTTAATATATCTAAGTGAAATAATATGCTTTAAAAATGTTTGTACATCATATACCATAGGCTTAGGCTCTACCTCTGAGAAGAGGTTTGGAGTTCATGTTCAGCTCTTAAGTGAAGAGCTGTGAGGAGGTTGTGGTTCACCAAAGCAGTGTTTCTCAGCAGGGGGAGACTTTGCCCTGGAGGAGGCGCTTAGTAGTGTCTGTGAGGTTTCTGATTGGAGACTTGTGGTGGGAGGGGCGTGATAAAATTTCCTGCAGTACACAGGACAGTTCTCAGCACATCCCCCTCCAACCACAGAAATACCTGGCCCCCATCTTAGTAGTGTCAAGATTGAGAAGGTCTGTTCCAAAGAATTAAAAATTATAATAATACTTGGAAGATTTAAAGGTCATATTTTTAATAGTTTTTCAGTGTCCCTGGAGCCATTAAGTTTTTTTTTCTTTTCAAATAATTCTAACATAAGTATCTTCTAATCAAGTTTATTGTACACTTGATACTAAAATAGTGATTTTCATTGTTTGCAACGTTCTCTTTCAGCTGTGGGCTTGATCATTGCCATCCTCATCCCCGTGGCAGTGGCTGTCCTTGTTGGTGTAGTAACAAGCATCCTTTGCTATCGGAAACGAGAATGGTAATGGCACCTGCTTTTACTCTATTTTGTTTTTAGGGGCTTGATTATTTAGTTTTGTATTACAAAATAAGTACATCTTTATAGTTGTATGAGTTAGTAGTAGTATATATTTTGTTTAGTCAGATTTAATGTGGACTTTAATTAATAGGCAAGAACATGACATTTGATTTAAAAGTTTTAAAGTTAATAGAGTAAAAGTATAAATTTTCCCCTATTCTTACTTATAATTTAAGGTACTGGCAATTGTGCTAAAATAAATAAAAATATATATGTACATATATATGTACACACAAATATATACATATATGTACACAAATATATATCAGACATAAGTATTACAACAGGCATCTTCAGGATAAAATGTGATTTAATGATTAAGGTCTCACTTGTCCTGGTGACCTATTTAGAAAATCTGGTTGTCGTGGTCCCTCACTCCTTTGTGCACCAGGCATGGCTCCCCTTCCATGTGAAGGGGGAGATAGTGATGAGCAAAACAGACCTGGTCCTTACAGAGCTCTCCCGTAATGAGGAAAAGGGTCAGTGAGCCACGAGTGTCCAGTGACCATGTGCTTGCAAAGTGTGGGTGGGTACGGGGAAGGGGAGAAACAGGGAGCTACAGGGAGACTGCTCCCAGGAGGGTCTGGGAGGTTAAAAGAACATTCCAGACAAAGAGAATGGCATCTACGAATCCTGAAATTGTGAGTGAACTGACAGAGACAAGGGCTGAGATGAGGTGGGGTGAGGTGGGCAGAGGCTCAGAGGGGATAGTGGCACATACTTGGTTAACTGGCAGGAGCTGTCCTGGGTGTGGGGCAGATGGCTGTAAGCTGCATTCGTGCAGAGAAAAGTCCTCACTTTCTAAAACAATTATCAGTTCTGACGAAGAAGAGAATGTATTCTAGCAATTCTGGCTTCTAAATCAAAATAATTATAGTTATAGAACTGTAGCCCAATTTTGATAGCCATATTCTTGTTACCAAAAATCACATTTTAAAAATAGTTATTGTAATACTAAAAAATAAAAAAGAGACAAAGTAAGAAGGATGGTTAGAAGTTAGAACATTTCAGACTCACATTAACAGTTCTTTTTCTTGCAGGAATTTCAATAAAGTTCTTGTTAATTGCTTTAACTCTAAAAATCTAATATGACACTGAGCAAATCTGTTTCTCTTTTCTTTTTTTGCATTCAGTTTTTACCCACAACTAATAGGCTTTCTCTTTCATGGCATGACAGTTGACATACTTGGGACACATGGTTTTACCTGCCTCCTCCTGTTGTTAAGCACCATGGTAAAGCAGTAATGCAGCACCATAGTTGTACCTGCATAGTCCTGTGGTGAGCAGGAGAGACCTGCCTATGCAGACCTGTTCCCCAAGTGATCGATCCTGCTTAAGCCAGTTTGCAATCTGAAAATAATGGTTGTACGGACAATGTCTGTATTTTACTTTGGATATAATGGCACAGTCACCATTTTAAAATTTGCTTTTCATTTTCATGATAAGATACTATAGTTCTAGGAATAAAATTATTATTTATACTTTTCAATTTGGAACCTGGTATAGAAAACTGTAGTGAATGATCACATGTTTTTATCTCAGGTTTTCATTAAAATATTGATATGAAATGCCAAAATAAGCCAAGCCAGGTGTGGCAGCACATGCTTGTAATCCCAGCTACTTGGAGGACTAATGCAAGAGGATCACAAGTTTGAGGCTGGCCTCAGCAACTTAGTGTGACCCTGTATCAAAAATAAAATACAGAGCTGGAGATGAAGCTCAGTAGTAGAGCTCTTGCCTAGTGTATACAAAGCCCTGGGTTCATTTTCCAGCATCACAAAAAATAAATAAGCCTTATGACTTATTTGTTATATGATTCATACTTTTTAGTTATTAAATATATTTAATTATTCTTTATTTAAAGGATTAAAGAAACCTTCTACCCTGATATCCCAAACCCGGAAAATTGTAAAGCATTGCAATTTCAAAAGAGTGTCTGTGAGGTAATCTTTTATTTTCTTAAATTTGTCTTTGAAATATTTGCTTTCTTTCATCTTTTGTGAAAAGTTTGTAACCTGCAGATGTAAAAAGTATGGAGAAAATAGCATTTTTAAACGTGTGTTTCTAAAATTATTAGTCTTGGACTGTTTATACTGTGCCCTTTTTTTCCACTACTATTAATAGCAATGGGAAATACTAACGTGGACAAAACAGTGGCTTTGCTCTGTTTGCGCACTACAGAGTATCAGAGGCAATGTTTATAAGCAGATGTGAAAAAATAAATATGCCCTTTTTGTAGGAGAAGCATTACAGTAGCATTTAGAGCTGTTCTTTTTTTTTTTAAGAGAGAGAGAATTTTTTTAATATTTATTTTAGAGCTGTTCTTAATCAGTGTTTGAAAATTTATTTCTAGGGAAGCAGTGCTCTTAAAACATTGGAAATGAATCCTTGTACTCCAAATAATGTTGAGGTTCTGGAGACTCGATCAACAGTTCCTAAAATAGAAGATACAGAAATCATTTCTCCAGTAGCCGAGCGTCCTGATGATAGCTCTGATGTGGAACCTGAAAACCATGTGGTCGTGTCCTACTGTCCTCCCATCATCGAGGAGGAGCTGCCAAACCCGGCAGTGGACGAAGCTGGAGGGACCGCACAAGTCGTTTACATTGACGTTCAGTCCATGTACCAGCCTCAGGCCAAACCAGAGGAGGAACAAGACACTGACCCTGTGGTGGGCGCAGGCTATAAGCCCCAAATGCGCCTCCCCATTAACTCTGCTGCAGAGGCCACAGCTGCAGGAGATGGGGTGGATAAAACTGCAGGCTATCGGCCTCAGGCAAATGTAAACACATGGAACTTAGTCTCCCCAGACTCCCCTCGATCCACAGACAGTAACAGTGAAATCGTCTCTTTTGGAAGTCCATGCTCCATCAACTCCCGACAATTTTTGATTCCCCCTAAAGATGAAGACTCTCCTAAATCTAATGGAGGGGGGTGGTCCTTTACAAACTTTTTTCAGAACAAACCAAATGATTAACAGTGTCACCCTGTCACTTCAGTCTGCCATCTCAATAAGCTCTTACTGCCTGCGTTGCCTCAGCAGCGCTGGGCATTCTTAGAGGGACCTGTGAAGCATTGGAGCCAAGTGAACTTCACCACGTGCAGGTTGTACTAGGAGTGTGCATGAGCTTTTGATGCCGTCCAAAAGCCAAAGTACGTGACTCGGAATCCTCAACCCACAACTCAAGATTCAGAGCTATTGGTGTTTGAGCTAAAGAATTTCCCCTTCAAGAGGCAAATGCTGTACGCAGAACAAATCCCACAGCACCTGTTTTCTGTTGTTAATGGTTTTCTTGTATGTATGCTTGTGGAATTACAAGGGGGATTTGCAGGCATGGGAGAAAAATGTCATAGTCACATAATGTTTATTTGCCTGACATTTACTCCATTTTAGAGGACAACCAAGCACAGGATTTTAAACTTTTAAGATGATTCTCCTCTATCCACAGCATTTACAAAAGTTAATATAATTTTTAATGTAGCAACAGCTATTTAGTGTTCTGTTTGATAAAGAGTGCTGATTTCTGTGCCTACTGTATAATGGTTATCAAACAGTTGTCTCAGGGGTACAAACTTGGAAAACAAGTGTGACACACTGACCAGCCTGAATCAGAATCATGTTTTCTTGCTTTGGTAGGTTTTTCAAACCTTTCCATTGTTTTTTTAGCTTTTATGCTAGCTTCCGTTACTGCAGTTGGTTACCCTAATATTTGAAACTTAAATTTCTAGGCCTATAGATCCAAGTGGGTTTTTTTTAAATCCATTTTATTTTGTGATACAGTGTCAGCTTTATATGAGTAAACTAAATATTATTCATAAGCATATAATTCCAATGATTTCCTATGTGAGATGACTACTAAGCAATATCTAGCGGCATTACTGGCCACGTAGCTCTGATTGGCTTTGGTTCCCCCTGAAAAGACCATGCCCTTGAGCCCAGTCATCAGGCAGTGGTGTTCTTTGGCGCTTCCCAGCAGGTTTCCTCCCCCTCATCTGTCAGATCTCTCCCCCCTGCTCATAAGCAGTTATCAGTCCAGACTATCAGATCTAGTCCTGAAGTGGTTAAGTTTAAAACTAAAATGAGAATGCTTCTTTCAGGAACAGTTAAGAGCTACGTCATGTGGAAGTCATAAAGTCCATTTGAATCAGTGCGCGTACCTACAGCACAGGTGCAGCGGTTGCTTGGAGAACCTTGCAGAGGCACATCTTGAGCTCAGGTGTGCTCTGCCCATCCTGGTTCCTCATCAGGGATGTTCTGGAGTGAGTGTGTTCCTAGCAAAGCAAAGTGCAAAACGAAAAAGCCCGTTGTGTGTTTTCCCTGCCCTCGGGTTGTCTATGTATTTTGTCATTTGATAGTTAATGCGGAAGTACTTGAAGATTTGAAACATCGGATTTAGTTAAGATAGGCTTGTTTTGTATCATCTGAAGTTCTGCAATGTATACCCAAATAATGGAGCAATCATTATTAGTTTTAGCTCTTACTGTATCTTTTTTAAAACCATGTTGTAGAGAAAGAACACAGGGTGACAAGGGACAAAATCTATTTAGGTACTCAGTTTATGAATCCTTCTTTTAACTGCTAGATTTAAACTAAATTCTGAGCTTCTTGATATGTGGAATGAAATGTAATTATGCACATGCCTAGTGTATTAAAACTATATAATAGCTTATATAAATTTTTAATAATGAAAAATATACCAAACCAGAGCCATCCCTAAAGAGTTTCCTCGTCTTCCTTTGTATCCTCTTTAGCTCCTTCCTGTAACTCCTGCCTCTTCCAAGCCCCTTCAGAGCTTGTCATCACCCTGCTCAACTCGTACTGTGTCCCTATTGAAACTTGCCAAGTC